GTAATAATCAATTGCTTAAAAAATAACATTATATAATAAATACTTTTTAAATTTTATCAGTAAAATATCTTATAGAAAGTAATCTCATAGATAATGGCTGCGTTCGGAGAGCGCGCTATTAGCGCTATTGCATCATTCTATCTTTATCGCTCATTAGGTATAAAACAAGGATAAAATAAGCAAATAGCGCCAATAGCGCGCTCCCCGAACGCAGCCAATATAAATCTTGAAATAATTAAAATGTCTTATACATATATACAAATATATAAATAAATATTTTCTCCATATAATACTAAAATTTTTTTAATATAGTAAATTAATTTTAACTTAAAATTAATAGCATTTACAAGTATTCTATTAATATAAAAACTGTATTTTGTAATAATTTCGAACAAATTTTATTGTATGTTAATACAAATATATCAAATTATGTAATCTTACCACATGCTATTCTCCAAGCACAATGTGATATTTGTTCTTGAAGGATAATTTCGTTTCCACTTAGATCATCTTTCTCTAATTGATGTGTAAATATTGCAGATTGTTCAACAAATATATTAAAGAAATTTCGCAACATCATTGAACTAAATGTTGGTGCAGTAAGTTTTCTCATTCGAGTCCATATGGATTCTGAAATAATTATTAAAAGCATCATAAATAATATCACAATATTTAAAAGAACTTATAGTATTAGAGATTTTAATTTTAAGAAATAATTCAAGAAATTGGCGTTGCTAATAGTTAGTATTATTAAACAATATTAGGAATTATAAACAATATAAAAAAACTATAATAATATAAAATAGTATAAAAGTAACTATATACAGAGTGAAACAATAACTATTACCTTAAATATACCTTCGAATCTATAAGGTCTAGAGGAAGATTCGTATAACCAAAATTGTACAAAGGAGGCTATCATATGGCGACAATAATTTTTGTCTGGAGGCGCTTCGGAGATATCAAAGTTAGCTTTATTCTTTAAATGGATTCGGTATGTTCTTTTTTCCATAATATAATAGAAAAGCTGAAAACAAGTTCACGACACAAGATTGTCACAAGATTATTGAACAAGATTAGAAATAAAGAAAAAACGATAAAAAATATTTTTTTATATTAAATAAAATTTATTTTTAAAGAAGATGTTTGAAGTGATGGCCATCATTATATCGATCCAACACTGGATTCTTCCAATCACAGGCTGAATGCGATTAGGATGCGTTAAATTTTTCGCTCGCACCGAATTTTGTTGACATTCCGATAATTTAATTACTCGTAAAAATAAACGTTTTATTATAATAACTCCCGACGTTACTAAAAGAGCAAGCAAATCAATGATCGAAAGAATCCATGGCAGTATTGCATCGATAATGATGGATATCACTTAGAACATCTTTTTTAAACGTTTTTATTCAATATAAAAATGTATTTTTTAGCGTTTTTTTTATTTTTAATCTTGTTCAATAATCTTGTGTCATGAGTTTTTAAATTTTTTCCAGCTCCTCTTTCATATTATTAAAAAAAAAAACATCAAATTGTTGTACCGCGCCTTGAATTGGAGCTCAGGGCCGGCACCGGTTTCTTACCTGGTGACCCAGAGCCTGGAATGCCACCTCAGGTATATTTGTCATTTGTTGTGGTATCAATTGTCGCAACTTGCGCTGGCAGCTCGATGTTGCAATGAAGAACCGTCGACACCACAAAATTTGCCTCACAACAAAATTTATTTAAAAAAATGAAGCTGACCGTGATATCTCCGAAGTGACTAGACAAAAATTATTATCGCCATATGATAACTCCCTTCGTACAGTGCAATTTTAATTACAAAAATCTTTCTCTCTAGACCTTTATAGATTCAAAGATATTTAAGGTGGTAATAATTATTGCCTCATTTTGTATACATATAAACAAAATGAGTTTTATTTCGCGTGTGCCAATTATCTTGGTAACATTTTCAATATTTAGCTTACAATATTTCGACAATTGTTTGTTGGAGGGAAAAGTGGTACAGGACTTTTTAACTTAATTTAGTCTCAAGAATATTCTCTTGCAATAACACCTAAACTTTTTTAAATATTTGTGTATACATAGAAGCTCCAAAGAGATGTATCCTACACAATTACATTAGATATATATGGCTCTGTTGGAAATCTACGAGTAGAAGAGAAATGGGCTAAACTTTTGCGTATTAATTACTACATCTGGCTCTCATTTAGCCTGCTTTTCTTGTACTCATATACGCAATTATTTAAAGTTGAGGTATTATTGCACATTCAACAGCACATTCTTTAGACCAAATTATGTCAAAATGTCATGTACCACTTTTTCCTCCGACAAGCAATTATAGACATATGTCGTAAGCTAAACATTGAAAAAATTATCAAGTTTCCCTTGAATATCTTAAAAAATATATGGCAAATAAAAAAAAATGTTTCAGACAAAAGTTGTTCAAATTAATTAGTAGAAAGCGATGAAATATTAAAAAATAGAAATCTTTACTTAAAAATTAGACTTGGGTCTTACTGAACCCAACACGTGCTCCGGACCAAAAATTTAATAAACTCATCTATTGGCCCCCTTCGAGCCCTACAACTTTTATCTGAAATATTTTTTCATCAACCCCTTCCTTTATGAGCTATTCGACCGTGCTGTTTTAAATGGGACACCTCGTATATTCATGTGACTTATGGTATATCATTAATACATTTATAAATGCAGCTAGAATATAAACGGTTACGAAATAATAATAAATTATAATTATTTCCTTAAATTAATTACAAAGAAAGTAACTATAAATTACGTACTTAAAAAGCAATTATAGTATAATGCTTTACTCTTGTAGATATATCTTACCAGGAGCAGTGACCAATCCCATACCAAGTAGAGGAATAACTTTATACAGTATACTTTTATCTATACAATTTTTACTCTGTAAGATAGTCTAAAACATAAAAAAATTATTTATTTTTCACTGCATTGTAATGACGTTCGCACGTTTGTTTCGTTCGCATAATTAACATATATTTTATTAGTTGTAAACTAATCAGAGTTATTTAAGTTATTAATTAATGTTAGTAATAAAGATTATATATGTATATACATATTACGTATAATTTATATAAAGTATAGTTTATAGCTGATGCTTATTAAGATATAATAAAAACGTATTGCAGTGAACATTCTTTCTTTACTTTTACGTCATCCGGTTCGTATATTCCAATGAGCAACTTGCTGCCAAACCAAAATTGAAAAGGAGATGAGTAATCTTCTGTCACCTTCAATATGACATCCAAAAATTCTAAAAATTTTAGTATATCTTAGAGATATTTTTTGTGAGATTACTTATTTACATGTTATTATTACAGGAACAAAAATAACATATATTTTAATTGTACATATATAACATATATAGATACACGCGTACTATTCAGTAGGGGAGACCGGGGCTATCTCTCTACGGAAGCTATGTGTTCATAGTACTGCTATCAGTGCTATCTCAGGTGTTAAGAGATAGATATCTTTACCATTTTAACAAATAATTGAAAAAAGCTCTACACAAGAGATTCAGAAGTTCGAAGCTTTTGTTCTCTTGCGATGCTTTTCACAGACGCAATATGCATTACAAAAAAAAGTGAAAATAATTATTCACATTTTTAGAAAAAATTGTTGTGCGACAGTTAGTCAATTAACTCAAGACAATTTAACTCAAATTAAGGCAAGCAGTTCATAATGTTAT